TCTCGCATGCAGATGTTGACTCCTTTTCAGTCGACTAATGCAGCTTGGCTTGACTCAACTCGGTGTAGCTTCTCGGCTCAAAACTCTATCATTCAGCTTAGTATAGACATTTTGTTACTTATTAATACATTTTTTCTCTCCCAGAGCTGAATTTGACCTTAATTAAGGCAACTAAGATCTGTATAACTTCTTATTTACATGTTCAAGTTTATTTAGGCTAGAAATGTGAGTTATTAATGAAAATGAGATAGACGTTCGAATAGAAAACAACTTTCGATGATACTTGGAACAACATCGGGAAGCAGAATACAATTGTCCTCGAGTGTAAGGAGAACGTCTGCTAATGCAAACCATGTAACTGACCTTACTATCAGTTTGGTTAAAAGATGATGTTTGTATGATGACACGTGACTCGTGGTTCTACACGTGATATATGCTTGAAATGTGTGAAATGATTACAGAACGATGTTACTGTGGTGTGTGTATGGAACGATATTACTAAGATATCTTTAGGAAATGATATGACTAGGATATGTTTATGAAACGATATGACTAGGACACGTTTAGCAAACAACACAATTAGAATATGTTGATATGGCTAAAATATGTTTATGAAACGATAAGACTAGGATACGTTTAGGAAATGATATGACTATGATATATTTATGAAACGATATAACTAGGATATGTGTATGAAATGATATGACTAAGATATGTTTATGAAACGAGATGACTATGATATATTAATGAAACAATATAATAAGAATATGTTTATGAAATGATATGGCTATGATACGTTTATGAAATGATATGACCATGATATGTTTTATGAAAGAATACGACTAGGTGTATTTACAAAACAATATGACTATGATATGTTTACGAGATGATAAGTCCATGATATGTTCGTGATATAACGTGACTATGAGATAATACGGGAACGTTATGACACATGATATGATGATGTACTAATGATATGATAAATGTTATGGTATAACAGGTTTGGCGATATAGTACATGATATGATACGAAGAAAAATGGAAGGGGTTGTCTTACATGATAATGAATAAAATTGTTGGGATCTCATGCATCATTGTGTGTTCATGCATCAAGAAATACCCCTTTTTTACGATGGTACAGACGCGTACACTACGAGGTAGAAAAATAATCATTATGTTTATCATAATGCTACGATGGTCGCAATGCCTAATGGGGCCCAGGAGGTGTACGAATTGACTGGTGGGTTCATACTCGCACGAGTGGACCGTTTGTAGAACAGTAAATACACATCCCACTAACACGTTTAGTATAGCCGCCTTAGGAATATAAACTGATACGTTATGTCCTACACATGATTGTATATGTTTGCATCTAACACCAAGAGTAGGGTCACTTACTAAGTATTTCTTATAATACTCATGCCAGGTGCAACTGCTATTTCAGTTAAAGGCAAGACATTTCTGTACGACTTACGACGACATAGTCATTCGAGACCATGACACATGCAAAGGGTAGATGTATTTATTAACTTAGAGTTAGATTAGAATAGAGTGTTTTAAATTTAATGCATTTAGTATTTTGTTAAGTCGTTTTAAAGATGTTTTCGAACACGTAACTCTATTGCAGTTTAAGATGAAGCCTATATTTTATGATGAACTTTAAACGCTAATTTCTAACACAAAATGATTAAGTTATGATGATAGTAGTGACTCTAGGGAAGTAGAAATCTAATGTCATTACAGTATTCTTGTTTGAACTTAAGGATATGCTCCTTGTATTAGAAATTTATGTTAGATGGGCAAAAATTAAGTTAAAAAGTTATGGATTAGAAATTTATGTCAGAAGGGCCACTTGAGCAAGAATTATAGGAGCAAGCGAATCCGTCGATGACTTTTCAATGCGGATCACGGGGCTTGCCAACAGCATCACCACTCTCAGTGGGAGCATCAGCGAGACAGAAATCGTAAAGAAGATGCTGCAAGTCGTCCCCGATCACCTCGAGCAAGTTGCTATTCCAATCGAGACATTACTTGACGTGAACGACCTAACGGTGGAAGAGGTGACTGGAAGACTGCATAACGTCGAGCAGCAGAAGAAGAATGCCGCTTCAACTGTCGACAAGGAGGGTCGTCTACTCCTCATAGATGAGGAATGGCTTGCACGACTAAAGCTCTGCGACAACATCGGCGAGAGCAACGGGTTCTCCAGCCACAAAGGAGGGAAGAAGCCATGGAAATCTCACTGGCGCACGCGCGGGAAAGAGGGGGATCAAAAGAAGGAGTCGATCGATAGCGGCCCAATCCAGTGCTCGAACTGCGGGAAGAAGGGCCACCTGAGCAAGAATTGCTGAAGCAAGCTCATGAACAAAGAGAAGGTCCATGCCACTTGAGCAAGAATTGCTAGAGAAACGGGTCCTCCAGCCGAAAAGGGAGGAAGAAACCATGAAAATCTCGCGGGTGCACACGCGGAAAAATGCGCGGGAAAGAGGGGGGTCAAAAGAAGGAGTTGACTGATAGCGGGCCAATTCAGTGCTCGAACTGGAGGAAGAAGGGCCACAGAGGGGGGTGAAAATAAGGAGTCAACCGATAGCGAGCTAATCCAGTGCTCGAACTTCGGGAAGAAGGGCCACCTGAGCAAGAATTGCTGGAGCAAGCTCAGGAACAAAGAGAAGGTCCATGCCATCTGAGCAAGAATTGCTAAAGATGCCACCTGAGCAAGAATTGCTGGAGCAAGCTCAGAAACAATTCTACAATTCTAGTTGGAGCAAGCTCACGAACAAAGAGAAGGTTCATGCCACTTGAGCAATTATTGCTGGAGCAAGCTCAGGAACAAAGAGAAGGTCCATGTGGCTCGATCCGAGGAGGAAGAGCCGGCTCTTTTCATGGTAAGTGCAACGGTCTTATCCGACGTCTCCAGTTTCGATTCCAAATCCACAGAGGTGGAGGTTGTTGGTGTTAATATAAGCATATAACACATGTGGAAGCAATTTGGATCTTAGGCACTTTTAAAACATCAATTATAGTATTAAAACTTAATGAGTTTAAATACTAACCTTTTGTAGTTTAAACTCCTTTTTCCTCACAAACCGGTTTCAAACCACCACTAGTGTCTTCTCCACTATCCTCCAGCCTTAGAACAGGATTGTGGAATCCGGTGAGTGACTAAACTTGGGAGGGATTTTGTATATGTGAAGAGAGTGTTTGTGAGAGGTTTTTCTCAAGGTTTTTCACCAAGAAGAAGAAGACCTTCCATGTACCATGATCACTCTATTTAAAGAGTCATGTTTGCATGTTCATGCAAATTTGAGATCACCAAATTTTGACACTTAAAATTCCACTCAAATGTTTGGGATTATGTGGCAAGCATGCATGTTTGAGTTAACCAAATTTTGACACTCAAAATTCCACTCAAACTTGTGGGGTTTATTTGGCAAACATGCAAGTTCGGTTAAACAAAATTTTAACACCTCAAAATTCCACTAACATGTATTTTTCAATTAATTTTGGCTTTCTTCATTTTAATTTAACAATTAATTTGAATAAAGAATTTCAAATTAAAGTAACATTAAGTGATTAATTAAAGTATTTAATTAATATTTAATATTAATTCAAATGCCAATCCCAATCAATTCCGACACATAATTGATTAAGATATTTAAATCTTGTTTAAATATCTCAGATTCTCTCTTTTTGTTTAATTCGTAAATAAAACAAAAATGCGGTTAAATATATCGTATATATGTAGCGCATATTCCCTAATTTGAATTCGAACACTTCGAACTCACTCGTCACACTGTTCTATGGTTTTGTCCGATATGAGCTAGCAGAGGGACCTAATGAACCTATAGATCATGGGCTCCAACGATCCAAGATTAACCGGCTATAGTCATTAACCTTGTTAACCAACATTCGTTAACTACTAGGACCCTCCACTATAGCCGAGTAGTAGCACTCCCCTCACTATAGATATATTTCTGTCCATTTGATATAACCATGATTAGTTAGTCGATCCTACACAGGTTGTTTGTAACTAGAGCTGGGTCAATTTACAGTTTTACCCCTGAAGTTACTTCTTGTTTCTTATGTCTCACTGATCCTCTAATGAACAATTGGTTTGTGGTCCAACCAGTAAACCGAATCCCTCTCAGACCAATGAGAGGGTGGGGCCCCTTCTTCAAGACCTGGAGTCAGTGCTTAAGGGAACTACCTCTCTTCTATCCCTAAATGTGGGTAGGAGTGAATTCCATCTTGCACCCCATGTCCCCAGCCATTCACCCAGTCTTACCCCTGAAATGGGAGGCCTATTGAGTCGGCGAACTAGAGCCACTCTCACCCATGCAAATCTAAGGATAATTCTGAATAAACAGGAGTTCATGGTTAGCTCAGGATTAAAACTGAGTTACCTAGGTTATCGAATGAAAAGGAAATCAGTCTCAACAGTAAACGACATTATAAAGTGAGAGTGGTTTTCTTCATGGTCCGATCTTATGCAATACTCATTGCATAGGATGCCCCCACTCACATGTCTTCACATGTACAATTTAGTGATCACATTGTTTATATCATATACAAAAGTGGGCCGCATCCATAGTGTCCCCAGAACAAGGTACTCAGCCATATCCTTATACTATAGATCATTTTGACTATATACTATAACTTGATCCACTCTTATGTTTCTACATATAATTCAAGTAATCATACTATAGCTAGAGTGTTCTTAGTTTATTGGATTTATATTAATGATCGTAAAGTTCACTTAATTCAATAACAATCTTTACTGAATAAACAACAATAATAACTTTATTGAAAATAGAATATGTTTTTGTTTACAAACTATGAGTTTTAGGACATAAAACCCAATAGAGGTAATCTACGTCGGCATAACTGCTCCTCCAGTGAGCATCGAACTCGAGGAAGTGCTCCAGTTGAAGTAACAAAGGCACCAGTTGGGGAGCAAATTCAACTGAAGGAGGAGCGAGTGTTCGCTCAGATCGGCGAGAGGGGTGAGCAGCATAAGCACCGACGATGGGTCCTCGACACAGGAGCAACAAACCGTATGACCGGGGCCAGGTCTGCATTCTCTGAGATCGATTTGGGGATTTGCGGGACAGTAAAATTCCGTGACGGCTCCGACGTTGAGATCAAAGGGCACGACACCATCCTATTCGTCAGCAAGGGAGGTGAGCACCGCAAGCAGACCGGTGTCTTTTTCATCTCGAGGCTCAAGGCTAATCTTGTGAGCCCGGGTCAACTCGATAAGGCCAGCTACCACATTTCCATCGAGTGCGGGCTACTCAAGATCAGCGATGATCAATGATGGCTGCTCACGCAAGTTCGGCGCACGACAAACCTCCTTTACATCCTTGAGTTGGTGATAGAACAACCGGTCAGTCTCTTGATCAGGACCAAAGAAGTATCTTGGAGGTGGCACGCAAGGTACGGGCACCTAAACTTTCCTACTCTACAAAAATTATACAGGGAGGAGATGGTGCACGGTTTACCAGTAATCATAGGCGTGAACAAGCTGTGCGACGGGTGCCTCATCGGTAAACAGAGGCGTATCCCCTTTCCGTCTCGGACATCCTACCGCGTCGATGAGCCATTGGAGCTTGTACACGGCGATATCTGTTGGCCCATCAAGCCGGCGACCCCAGGCGGCAAGACCCTCTTCCTCCTGCTTGTCGATGACAAAAGCCGCTTCATGTGGCTAATCCTGCTGCAAGCGAAAAGTGAGGCGGCAGAGGGGATTAAGTGCATCCAGGTGCGAGCGGAGGCCGAATGCAGGAAGAAGATGCAAATGTTGCACACGGACCGAGGCAAAGAATTTACCTCAGCGAGCTTCGGTAAGTACTGTGACAAGCTCGGCATGCAGCGATAACTAACGACGCCCTACTCCCCCCAGTAGAACGGGGTGGTGGAACGCCGAAATCAGACCATCATCGGGACAGCAAGGTCATTGTTGATGATGGCTGGGATGCCTGGGAGGTTCTGGGGAGAGGCGGTAATGATGGCAATCTACCACCTCAATCGTTCACCAACGCGAAGCCTTGACAGGAAGACGCCAGACGAGGCCTGGTACAACAAAAGCCAGCAGTACATCATCTTCAAGTGTTCGGCTTCGTCACATACATGAAGGTAATGTTAGGTTAAGGAGCCTGCTGCTTATTTATAGCTTGGTCAACAGTTATATCCGGTAAAGCTATATTTGGTAAAGCTATATCCGATAAAGCTATATATGGTAAATAGCTATATATAGTAGATGGTTAAATCTGGTAAAGCTATATATAGTAAATAGCTATCTATAGTAGATGGTTAAATCTGGTAAAGCTATATATAGTAAACTGAACTATATATATATCCCGTCTAGCAGAGCTTTGAAAAACTACTTTTCCATTCTCTGTAATTCTCTCCTACTGTACATACGTGAAGTCATCAATAAAAAATCCTTTTAGCCAGAGTTCTCCTTGCACTTTTCTCTATCCTGTTCTTTGTGTTCATCTAGATCGATCGTGTGCGTTGTTGATCCTAACAGGTAGCCCATCCACACCTCGCCAAGCTCGATCCCACATCGAGCAGCTGCGGAAGGAGCTCTCGGAGATCCGCTTTAAGGACGGAAAATCTGTCGATGATTTTTTAATGCAGATCACGGGGCTCTGGGAGGGAATCAAATCCCGTCGGGTCGGTGTACAGCGAGTGCGGAAATCCAACATCGAGCAGCTGCGGAAGGAGCTCTCGGAGATCCACTTTAAGGACGGCGAATCCATCGATGATTTTTCAATGCGGATCACGGGGCTTGCCAACAACATCACCACTTTCGGTGGCAGCATCAGCGAGACAGAAATCGTGAAGAAGATGTTGCAAGTCGTCCCCGATCACCTCGATTTCAATCGAGACATTGCTTGACGTGAACGACCTAACGGTGGAAGAGGTGACCGGAAGACTGCGTAACATCGAGCAGCGGAAGAAAAATACCGCTTCAGCTATAGACAAGGAGGGTCGTCTACTCCTCACTAAGGATGAATGACTTGCACGCCTAAAGCTCCGCGACAACACCGGTGAGAGCAACGGGCCCTCCAGCCGCAAAGGCGGTAAGAAGCGATGGAAAGCTTGCGGGCGCACGCGCGGGAAGGATGGGGATGAAAAGAAGGAGTCGACCGATGGCAAGCTGATCCAGTGCTTGAACTTCAGGAAGAGAGGTCACCCGAGCAAGAATTGTTATTGCAAGCTCAGGAAGATCGAGAAGGCCGAGAATGCCCATGTGGCTCAATCCGAGGAGGACTTTTTTTCAAACTACAATTGTTTTTTTATAAACCACCATAGAAGTTGAATATCGATAATGACTTTTTTTCCCGTTGTGTATTATACTTTCAATAGCTGAACTTTTTCCTTTTAAACTATCAATTATATAAATGTAGATATATATATATATGGTGCCATTGAAATTTGGCATCATGCAACACCCTTATTTACTTGAATTATTGGCCTTCGACTTGCAATAGATCGTTAGAGGTTCTCCATCCTTATAACTAAGAATCGTCACTTTCCAAGGTGACCCTCAAGATTGGAGAGATAAACAAGTGAAGGCATTAAAAGTTGATGCAAAAGTAAACAATAAAATCACATAGAGTCAATTCATAGCATTCATTTTTTGATGTGTTTAGAATATGTAACGACTCTAGATTCCTATTTAACCTAAAGTCGCTACTACATACATATCATTAACAATTTATGGGAAAATATTTCATTCAAAACTTTATCATAAAACGTTGTCGTGGACTTACATGTTTTCTAGAAGGTCTTTAAACTAAAATACCAAAAATTGAAATAACATAAAGTAAAACTTCCCAGTACTAACCTATATGCTACAAAATTAAATGCATACAAACCTATACGAACGTATTGTCTACGAAATTAAAATTTTGCAAACTCCCCTATGCATGTGTCATGGTCTCTTGGATTGTGATGCCATCGTCAGCCGTACAGGGGAGCCTTTCCTTTACGTGAAAAAGTAAGAGTAGCACATGACCTGAATATTTTGATAAATACTCAGTAAGTGGCCCCACTATTGGGGTTATATGCAAGAGCATATAATCATAAACTTCCCATGTCTTCTAACGTATCATATAACATTGTATAGAATCATCTCATCACAGAATAACATCATCTTACATCGTACATCATCATCAGACAATATAGTCACAACGTCATAAATATAGATAATAAATGACATGTGCAAGGGCCACTAGGTACGTGTCGTCATACATTAAACAAGTCGTTTAACCTATCCTATAGTAAGACCACTTACTTGGTTGGCCTTAGTTGGTGTTCTCCCTAAATTCGAGTACGAATGTTTTTCATCCCTCAAAATTTCTCCTGGTATTATTAGTTGTCGTTTCCAATTAGAATGTCTATCTCGTTTCCTTAGAAACTACAATTTCTTAACTCAGTTTAACATAAATTAAGAAAGTGAACTTTATACTGAATTTAATTTCCATAAACAAGGTCAATTTCAGCTTTAGGATAGTCGGAACGGTAAAAATTGGGTAAAATACCCTTTAGCGAGTTGAAGAGGTGGATTGTAATACTCGAATTTTTAGATAAATAAATAAAAAAATAAAAATAACAACATAGGGGCAAAATGGTCATTTTGTCCCTACTCTTACCTAACGGGTTTAGTTGTTTGGGCTCACACCAGACAAAGAAAGAAAAGAAAAAAAATAGAGAGAGAGGAGAAAGTAGAAGAAGTTTGGATTTGAGAGAGAGGAAGAGCAGAGATGACAAACCGCCGTTGGAGATCAAATCCAAGGCAAGAAACTTCGAAGCAATACTTCTCTCGGTGCTGGAAAAGAAGTTTGGGTGGTGGATCCACTCATTCCGGCAAGAAAATCTGAGAACGGACAAAGTAAGGTTCCGAACTTCTTATTTCAATTTTATCTCGATTTGAGGAGTTTTTTAGCATTAGATGTGGAGTTTTTGAGGTATGTAACTAAAATAAGATTCACACAGGTTTCTTGAGATTTCTGGATGAAAATCGGAGTTTCAAGAAAATGCGATTTTTTGTAAGAACTCGTGTTTTTCTCCAAATTTGAACTCAAATAATAAGAACTGTGATTACCAAAAAAATACAAGAAAAATATATTGTAGAAATAGAATATGAGATCTACAATATTCGTGAAGAGAACTTGTTGATTCGGATTACAGATTGGAAGATATAAAAATAGAAAGAAAATGGATTGAAAACGCCAAAACTCACGTTTCTAGAAAATTTGGAAAAACATAGGAGGAGAGAGGAGGCATCGCCGCCACGCATCGGTCGGTGTACGGAGGAGCGCGACAGGATTAACGAGTGATGCGTGGCGACCGTAGGTTCGAGAAGCGCATCAAGCGCGCGCAACCGGGTCGGCCTGAGTCTGAACCATGCGAACCGAACCAAACTGGCCGCTGGCTCGCGACTGCGTGGGAAGTCGCGCGTGGACACGCGAGCATAGTACACCCTCCAGAGCCCGTCAATCGTGCATGTAGGTGCGTGAGTGACCTTTCAACCTCCGTTTGCTTGTTTTTCATCCCAATTTCAACTCTGATTCTATTTTTATGTGAATTAGAACCTATCAAGAAAATTTCATAATTTTTGGAACCTTTTCCGGCAAATAGTTTGAGCTTGGGAATACACACGTCAACCAAGTAAGTAGCCATTTGGATTTTCACGAGCAATACTTGTAAGAACTGCTTGGAATAAGCTTGCATGCTATCATACCCATAAACTTAACTAGCCGTACCTAGCAAATTAGTATGAAAACCATGAAAATGAGATAAATAAGGAAGTCTATGACTTTTAGATATGAATGATTATGTAATCTGTTTAGATTGAGATTATGATAATGTATGTATGCACGAGGAGGATGGGAAACTTGTGAAAGCTGCACTCCAGGTGAAGATGGATGTTATCTTCCCACTGAGCATGTTCGTTAATATTGCATGAACTGTTACGTGTTAACTCCTATGCATGATGTTTGCTTGCGTTATCTTTCTTGATGAATAGGAAGAAATTGTGAGCTTAGATTAGGGTGCTTGTGAC